TTATATATTTTGGAAGGTGTGGTCGATGTAGAGTGTAGGCCTAGTCTGTCTTACAAAATTCAAAACTAGAAATCAGATGCATTCTTCTGCTGTTGGTGATATACCACCAGCCATAACATTATAACCACTTGCCTAATATTGTGTTTTTCCCCTTTTGCTGCCAAAACATCCCTGACCCATCGAAGCATGGGCTCCACTAGACCTCTCAGACAAGGACACCTTCTGGTCTGTGGCCATGCAGCCCCATATGCAACAAACTGTGATGCACTGTGTATTCTGACACCTTTCTATCAGAATTAGTATTAACTTTTTTGCAATTTGAGCTACAGCAGCTCATCTGTTGGATCAGACCACATGGGCCCAGCTTTCGTTCCCCACCTAATCAGTGCCCCTTGGCTGCCCATGACCCTGTCACCCCCAAATCCTTACTCTTGCGCATTTGAAAAACTGTATCACACAGAGTGGTTCTGAATTTATACAGTTTTAATACCATAAGAGAACTGAGTCAATATAGAGATGGAAAGACTTTAAGGACCTCACAGGGTTAAATGATGAATAGTTCTTGTACAGGGATGTTTAATCTGAACAACTGTGAGGAAGTACAGCAGAAATAACTAGGATTATAACATAAAGTAACAAGGTTTAAGACAGCATACGGCTACATTGTTAACTGGTATTTGTAAGACATGGATTACAATGCTGTTTGATGTATTCATTGGTGTACTTTCTCCATATCTTTGTGTGTGTCTTGTTCCACTCTAGTTGATGGACGCCACCCTCTGCGACACCATTGGCACTCAGATCGTCAACAACAAACGAAGCAAAGGCGGCAGCACGGTTTCTACACTGCCTGCTCCTTTGGCTAAGATCGCTGCAAAGCCCCTGCAGCTTCCACAGCCGACATCCACCATCATCCGTCCTAGCAGTGACTTCGCTGCTGTTGCTGGTGGTGGTGGTGGTGTGGACTCAGTAGGTCTGGGCTCCAGTGCTGGCACCGCTGCCAGTACGTCAGTGACTCCAGCGACAATTAGCTCAACTAATGCTCCAGACCTCAAGCCCCTGATCGTCCTCAATGGTGACATTGTTACTACTAGTATTCACCCAGCCACCATTGTGCCGGCTCCTTCTTTTATCACCTCGCCTTGTTTTACAGAAACAGCCACCACATCCCCTTCCCTCATCTCCACCAGCAACACAGACCTCAACACACTGGGCTACACGAGCCGCAAAGCTCCATCCATCTCATCAGGTGTCATCCCTTTTCGCCTGAGTACAACATCGCTCACCCAAAGCCAGAATCTCCTCGGCCTCTCCTCTTCATTCCCCCTCACGTCCTCCTGCCTCACTTCCTCTGCAGCCACCTCTTTGTCTACAACAACTGTGTCTGGAACTGAAGGACAGAACCAGAAGGAGAAAGCGGAGCAAGGCGGATCCACTTTGTTCCAGGAGATTCTGAAGCGACAGGAGGAGCAGGCCTACCTCGATCGAGTGGCTCGCCGCAGGGTTGAAGCCAGAGAGAAGAGGCGCGAGAGGAGGGAGGTGCGAATGTCCGAGTCCCTAGGAAGGATAGCCACGGCCCTGGAGCTGCTCTCCTCCAAACAGGACACAGTCATCGCCCTCCTACAGAGGCTGGCTGATCGGAAATAATCTACGGTGAAGGCCTGGAAAGTAGAATCTCCTGACCTTGTTTTTTCCCCACCTGAGATCCTCCTTATGAAGCTCTCATGCACTATAATGCTACTTTAATAAGCATAATTTAATATAAATGTGAATTTGACAAACTCTTAACTAAATAACAGACAAGCGCAAAGGTGAGTCATTGTTCTGTGCTTTTAAATTGTTGTGCTTTGTAAATATGTTAGTTTGCTTCACTAACATCAAATAAAAAGATTCTTTGGATATGCACCATAAAGCTGTGGTTATTTGAACACTTTGTCCCCAGATTGCAAGAATAAAACAGCGATTAACTACTAAAAAGTTACAATAAACTTTGCATGCAATCAAATCAACCATTAAAATATTACCAAGGCCTAGAAAATCCCCCAAAATTTATTTAATAAAGAATCTTAAATGACAACAAGGTTTTAGCTTCATAAGCAGGGCTCTGAATCATCCCTGTTACTTTTCATTTTTAGATTTTAACAGGAAATCCTCATGAGTGACCTAACAGATAATCTCAGGTTCCATGTAGGCTTGTAGGATGTTAACTGTATGTGTCTTAAAAGCAAATGTTCTGATCACAGAGTCAACCCTAAAATAAAGTACAAGCCAGTAAGATTAGTTGCATCCTGTTAAACCCTTCAATGAGTCTGTGTGAGTCTGAGTCAGCTGATGTTTGTTGAGGATTTGGAGACAAAATTCATTTATTCAATTCAATTCAATTTTATTTATATAATGCCAAATCACAACAACAGTCGCCTCAATGTGCTTTATTTATTCATTAATGAATGAAAAAATGACTGCCACCAAGGCATCATTTGATCTTTGGATAATGATTATACCTTTCAGACAAATGTTGCAGTTAAAAATACAATATCTCATTGAAATGTAGCTGAAAAATGAACCATTTACTTGATGTACTCTCAAAATACTACATAGGTCCGGTGTAAGTGTAGTTGATTACTTTTCATTGCTGAAAGTAAATGCGCACATTTTAAAATATTTTCATTTTACATTTTGTTAAAGGGGTGAATTTATCGAAGCTTTATCCCTGATCAGGACGTTTTATGAAGCATTAAAGTATACTGACCACTAGATGGCGCGCTGAGACCGTTCATTGTATTCTTAAATCTTTAAAGCGCAATTGTCTTAACGGACTTTAGGCGGTTCGTGTGTTTTGTAAAAGGATCAGTGATATAAAAATCGCAGTATCCTTAAATGTAATAGTTTAATTGTTTCCTCGTTGCAATGCTCCTCAGACTCACTATAAAATACCAACGTATCAAAGTCTACTTCTCAGTCAAAATGAAAGTAATGATATTCTATTTGAAATCATAACTTTATTGCACATTAAGCTGTTATGCAAGAAGTCATCAGATCTTTGATCCCTTGCAAAATAAAAGTGTGTCCCATCCAGTGACTCTCTATAAGACGCAGGTAGAGTGCCAAATTCAGAGGTTTATTTAAAACAGGTTGGGTGGAAATAGTCTTGGCGGCCGATTGTCGCTGCTGACCTAATTATTCAGCGGACGTGGACTAGACAGTAACTTGGTGGATGCGGTGGTATTCACCCGGGGCACCCAGCAGGTCACGTGACTGTAGAGCCCCACCCTCAGTTTAAAACAGAAAGCACTGAGGAAGCTGTGGTGAAAAAAGTTTTACCTAACAGACTTGCTTTGAGATTCAATCAGGACTGTCAGGCCAGCGAGGACAAGTTAACCGACGTCTACAGTTTTGGTGATACCTTTGTTTGTCGTCCACCATGAGCACTCAGGCCGCTGACAGCATACCTGGTCCAGCAGAAAATGAGCAGGAGCAGGGTCAGTATGAAATACGGAAATGCTGTTGAGTTAAAAGTTTTTAGTTTAATGTTTTTATTCTGTTTTTTGTATGTCAGTATGTATTTTTCCCCTGTGGGTGTAGTTGGTGTAGTTACTAACGCAGCCATGTTCTTAAGCACGTGTCTACCCTTGTTCAGCTGACACATGTAGAAAGAAAAAGTAAGCAGTGTGAGTCATACTGGTGCGAGCTGTTGGCTACTGCAGTTTATAGGGCTTGTTTCAGATGTTTGAAGATTGAAGCTAATATATACAATATGACATTACAATGGGGAGAAAAATACCAGATAATATAATTGATATAATATGTTGACTTTTTTTTACAGTACTTTAATAAAAATAAAATTCCAAAATGGCAGGGACTCTTTATCTGCTTTCTTCCTGTAAGTGTGTGTGTGTTTAATTAACACACCTACACCAAGTTAGCCAACAGTGATTTTGAGATGTGTAATTAAGCTACAGTACTGTTAGCCTCTAATGTTCATTTAATGTCTCCATCTCATTCTCGTGCTCCTTATTCCCACTTTTGTAGAGGTCACCTAAGGTCATCCAGCCCCTTTCTTTACTGGTGGTCTAACCTGTGAAAAGGTTGCGAAACATAATATCAGTATTGGATATTGTTTATCATTATCACACTCTTAAAAGTAAAAAACTAGGTTAACATATATTAGTTAAAATAAAGTATGCATTCTGTCAGAGAAAAAAATTATTTGCTGGAGTAATATAATGTTATGAAACATGATAGTTAGTGATCCGCAGCCTTTTCATTTGAGCTAAAAACCCTTCATTTAATTATAGGCTATTTATAAACAGAATACCTTTAACCCACACAAGATGGTGCAACAGACCTTAAGACCTTCATTAAGGGCTTGCATAGAAACATTTCCAATGTTTTGGAAATTTTCATCACATGAATGGCTGACCTCTGATGACCTCTAGAAACCTTTATAAATATATTTAAAATGATAGTGGCACAAAAGAAAATTTTTGCAGCGCAAACGTTTGACACCATTCTTGTTGCATTTGAAGAAGGTGGGATGTGGGTTTTTGAGCAAGGTGCACCTCAATCAAAGACTTTCAGTCGCCAACAACAAGACTAAGCTTAAAACCCGGTTCTTTGCCAACAAAGCAAATAATTTTGATAAACTGTACCAGTTCTGCAAAGAAGAGCGGTTAAACATTATGCCACACACCAAAAGTTTCTGGTTGAGGTTCAACTTGTTAACAAAAGATTAGTAAGCATCTATTTTCTGAAAAAGTAAGATAAGAAAAAATATTTCAACAGGCATATAAAAACAAAACAAGCCACAAATGGTAACATAAGACAACATACAGTGTATTAATCTTTACTTTTTATTATATTCATCAACAAATGCCAAAATGCTTTGTATTTGCCACAATGTAACAACATAATAAAAAAGTTCATACTGTTTGTGCCCTGGGATGCAACAGTCTGGGCTAATATGTGAAAGACATGAATTTCTACAAATAAACAATAATAATATCAGAAGTCAGAATGAAGGGCACAACAACTTTCATGAACTCTGAATAGTGTTTAAAAATGCTTTTTTGTTGGGTTGACAGAGCCGTTGAGGATCATGCTTCTTGGAAAATGTGGTGCAGGCAAGAGCTCGAGTGGGAACACCATCCTCAATAAAATGGTGTTCAGGTCAGAGATGAAGCTGGGCAGCATCACTGTTCACTGTGAAAAAGAGTCCGGGATGGTTGGAGATGTACCTGTCGATGTGATTGACACACCTGGGCTTTTCGAGAAGGGAAGCAACAAGGAGGACATCATCCGAGAGATTCTTCAACGCCTGAAACTCCAGGAACCAGGACCCCACATCTTTGCATATGTTGTTCCTTTAGGAAGGCTGACTCAGGAAGACCAAGACACCCACACGCTGATTGAAGCAAAGTTTGGCCCAAGAGTGTGGGACTACACCATCGTGCTGTTCACCCACGGGGATTGCCTGGAAGACAAAACAATAAACAACATCATTACTGAGAGTGACGAGAACCTCCGCAACTTCATACGCAAGTGTAGCGGTGGCTTCCACGTCTTCAACAACAAAACCCCGGAGGACCAGAAGCAGGTCACAACTTTTATGGAGAAGATCGAGACCCTGGTGGCCCTGAATGGAGGTAGTTACTACAATACAGAGCTGTATCCTGAGAAGGAGAGGGAAATCAGAAAAAGACAGGAAAGCATCCTTACAGAGAGACATGAAGAAATCAGTAAAAAGGAGGAAAATCTGAAGGAGCGTTACAAGAATGAAGAGCTAAAGATGATGAAGACAAAGCTGTGGAGAAAAGAGGAGGAAAGGGCAAGAAAAGACGCAGAGGGGGAGTTGTGCAGCCGCAAGTTGTACATGTCCTACCTCATGAAGGGCATCCTGTTTCTGGCTGTATTGTGTCTACTGTTATGTTGGGGTCTTGGGGTAGCAGCTAAATGGCTTTTTGGAATAGGAATAGGAATTTTGATTGTGGTGTCTTTTAAGACCTTTCCAATTATTCCAGGAAAAATACCAGGTCTTTCTAAGAAAAAGATATAGATGAGCTTTTACTGTGTTAGTGATTTATCATTCAAATATGTGACAGATGATATATTGAACTCATTTAATTAACAAAAATAATTTTCATACAAATTTTTCTGTCCATAGTTAGAAAATATTGTCATCTGATATCATCTCATTATTCTCATATTTAATCAGATAACAGAACTGTAAAAATGCTAATAAAAACAATATTTAAAGTATTACACAAAAGGCTCGGCACACCACGTTTTCTTTATATTTTACTAGGAAAAAAAGTAGATCCAAGGAAGTGAGTTTTAAAATGCTAACTAGTTTGAAAGTCAGTATTTGGTACGACCACCTTTATTCTGTGACACAGTCTGAACTCGCTTATGCAGCTTTGTTCTCATTTCTTCAAGTAGTCTTCAGGAATAGTTCTGCAGGCTTCTTGAAGATTGTTTAAAGCTGTCTTTGAATGCTGACCGCTTTTTGTTCTGCTCTCTGTGAAGATGATCTCACACTGCTTCAATGATGTTGAGGTACAGACTCTGGGGAGCTCGGTCCATGACTGATAATGTTTTATTGTGTTTTTCTATCCGAGTATGCTTTTTCTGGAATAACAGTGTGTTTGGAATCATTGTTGTGTCATAAAATGAAGCACTGATTGACACATTGACACATGATGGATCAAATCTGATGGTACTTTTCTGTGTTCAAATTTCAAATGATTTAACTCAGGAGTTTCACTTTTGGATTCATCACTTCATATGACCAGTTGCCACTGATTTTCCATTTGTCCAGTTCTTGTGTAATTTGGCATACCTCAGTCTTTTTTAGATTTTTTTCCTTCTTTAAAAATGACATCTTGACAGCCATCTTTTCCACTGAGACCATTCCTGATGTGGCTTCAGTGAACAGTAGATCTCTCAGGTCGTGTGTCCAGCTTGGAGCTGAAAAAATATATATATTTTGCTTGGAGCATAGCTGAGCCACTGTGTGAGAGCTGAGCAGCGAAAAGAAATTAAGTCAATGGGAGTCGACTCTTCTGATTCACTACAAAGCACTCTCTAAGCACGGCTCTTAGAGGTGATGCTTTTGCGCATGACACATTATCAACCGTTATGTTGTGTGTCATGGATACTGTTGACTCCAAATCTCCCAACCACTATGTTGAGCTGAGACAGCAAGACCGAGACAGCGAGACCAAGACAAGACCGAGGGATCTTAGCCCAAGACAAGACCAAGACCAAAGTCCGTCGAGACCAAGACAAGACCAAGACCACGTAGAAGTGGTCTCGAGACCGATCTTGGTCTCCAACTCTAGTACCGAGCATCCTCTGGTATTAACGTGATAGCGTTCCATACTGTAAAAGTGAAAACGTACAGGCTCTGAAATGTACTCAAAGTATGAAAGTAAAAATATTCTCCTTAAAGCACAATTCAACTAATCATATTTGTACAAAGGTAACTGAACCATGGTATATTATATTAATATAAGAATAAAATACGATTAGTACATGATAATAAAACATTTTCTGATTTAATTCTAATGGATGTGCTTTAAATGCAGTGAAAAAGAATTTAAAAAAAAAAAACTATTTTCTGTTCTGATTGTGGGTGAAAGTAAAATGAGTACAGTCAGGGTTTAAAGTGAAACTCAGTAGGTGAGTCTGTGTAGTGGCTCAGCATAGGTGAAAGAACCACACAATCATTTCTAATCAGCACACTGTACTGCCACAGTTTTTTAATAGTTTTTCTACCATAAAACTTGTAAAAATCAGCTTCTCTTTGTTTTCTTAGAAGAGGCAATGATGCATATAAATAGTTTTTAAGTGTTTTTGTGGATATTTTGTCAACTCCATTTTCACCTACTTCACTGAAGAGGTGTGCCACCCTGCCTAGACATCTTGCCCCTCCTTTACTATTACTATTAAATAAATTAACTCCTAAATAACTAAAAGGCAAGATTTATGAAGTTATCATGGGCTAATTCCGACCGGTCACAACAGTTCATTTTACATAAAAAAATTAAACTGGACTAAACACATTATAGTTCAGAGGTTGCTCAGATCAAGAAACTTTCGCTCAGTTTATTTGAAACCTATACATACTCCTTTAATGTGGATGTATCTTGTTACATGGATATGGAGAGAAATATCCATAGGCTACTGTGTAGTCGAGGCACAAACATAACGTTTAAGCCCAAGTGTAAAACTGAGACATGCAAGCTTCCAGACGTTTCTTTTCTAAATAAACAGAATAGCTCTTGGCCACTTTACTAGAAAACATAGATTTACCAATTACAGACACTAACCTGTTACACACTCAAATGTCCTTGGTTATTTATTATGCTAACATTAATGTTAGCCTGCTTTAATTAGAGAAAGGTCAATTAACATCAGTGTTATTCCACGTTACCTGGATTATATTTATATTCAGAAATATAAAGAGATTAGTTAGCATATGTTTACTCCAGAGGATGAGCCACAGTGATGTGCATCCATTGTGTTCTGCAACTGCGCATTGACTGACTTTTCCCAGCAGAAGATCGTCCAGCATGCAGCAGCAGCAGCAGATTATTATATAGGCAGCTGTGTACTGTCTGTAATTGGTAAATCATATTTTCTGCTGTATTTAGAAAAAGGGACGACCACTTTATTTGAATAAATAAATAAATAAAATTCAGGTATACGGAGGAAACTCAAATGTCCCATTTTTACACTGGGACATGAACACAGCTCAAGTTTGCGGATCTCGGCGAAGCTGGCAGTGTGAAATTTGTCTCAAAATTATACATATTACACATTTGTAATTCATACCGTACGTGCACTTGCAACCATTTTTAGGTTTCTCTCCATATATAAATAGCGACTGTAAATGTCAGTTTAAATCGTCTTACCTGTAAAACTTGCCGTCTTTACCGGAAGTCAATGTACACACCTTAACGACTGGGAGTGTTTATTTTTTCCAGTGTAACTGAAAAGTTAAGTTTCATTTTCCTGTTCTGGAACATCATCTGCTATCGACAGAGGTAAGTCCCTATTCTGGTGTTTCGCCTCTCTGTTCTTTTTTTTTTCTTTTTTTTTAAGTTATATAGTGTTTTTATACATGGATAACGGATGATTGCTAGAACTTATGCACAGATGTGCTGTCTATTTGCTCTCCTGTGGTTTCTGATGTTATAGACCTTAGTGTTACTGTAATTACAGAATGTAACTTTGTTTATACACACACACACACACACATATCTATATAGGGGGCATTTGTGTATACAGTAGATTTGTTGATTTGGATAGTGATAGCAGTTAAGTCTAAACGGCTAAGCTATATGGATAATATGGTAAAAGTACCGAGACTTCATCTTTGTATTCAGATGTTTTCAGTCTCATTGCAGACAGGCAGTTTTTCCTTCCTTCCTGTCACCCACAGAGGAACAACAGAATTACTTACAATAAAATTAAAATGTTAAAAGCTAATAGAAAATGCAAGATTTATCTCATATAAAAAATGCCACATAGTGTGGTGCATATTTAAATTTTTTATTTATCTGTGTTGATAGATTAAAATCACAAAATGGAAGAAGGAAGAACTAGCCCGAAGAAAAGAAAGAGAGTCACGGATGATAAAGATGACAAGAGTAAGTCCTTCGGGTCATTTTACCCTGAAGATCTATTTATTTAAAATATATTTCTGTGTACGCAGTAGAATTTTTCTGAAGCTGTTGAATTTGCAGGCTATAATGAGACA